GGCCCGTGGTGGCCCGTGGTGTCCGCCGTTGCCAGGGCGAAGTCAAGACAAGTGATTATCTTCCGTCCGGCGGTGACTCTAGCGGTGTTCCGTGGTGTCCGGGGTGGCCCGTGGCGTCCCGTGGTGTCCGCCGCTGCTAGACCGAAGTGAAGACAAATGATTATCCTCCGTCCGGCGGTGGCCCTAGCGGTGTCCCGTGGTGGCCCGTGGTGTCCCGTTGAGTGAGATCGACAGTGAGATCGATAGTGAGATCGACAAGTGTCCCGCGGTGTCCCGTGGTGCCCCGTTGAGTGAGATCGATAGTGAGACCGATAGTGACATGGATACTGACATCGATGTGGTGCCCCGAGGTGTCCCGTGGTGCCCCAAAAAGTGAGATCGATAGTGAGATCGGCAGGTGTCCCGTGGTGTCCCGTGGTGTCCCGTTGAGTGAGTTCAATAGGGAGATCGATAGTGAGATCGACAAGTGTCCCGTGGTGTCCCGTGGTGTCCCGTGGTGTCCTGTTGAGTGAGATCGATAGTGAGATCGATTGAGTCAGATGTTGGTTCCCCCCCTCTCCCCCCCCCCACAACCTCTGTATCGCCCGAAGGGTGGTCGTATAGGTATATATGTGCCTATACGACCACCCTTCGGGTGATAAGGCGATTCGGGGGGGGGGAGAAACCAACGTCTCACTCGATCGGTCTCATTATCGATCTTACGATCGATCTCACTATCGGTCTCACTCAATCGATCTCACTCCATCGATCTCACAATCGATCTCACTCGATCTATTTCATTCGATTGATCCCACAATCGGTCTGACTATCGATCCCACAATCGATCCTACTATCGATCTCACAATCTATCTCGCATTCGGTCTCACTATCGATATCACTATTGATATCACAATCGGTCTCACAATCAACGTCATCATCATCATCGACATCATCGTCATCAGTATCATCATCATCATCACTGAGACACCATCATCATCATCATCATCATCACCTCATCACCATCATCATCAACATCATCGCCATCATCACCATCATCATCATCATTGGGACGCCATCATCGTCACCATCATCATCAACGTCACCATCAGTGAGACCATCATCATCATCATCATCATCATCATCATCATCATCATCGGAGCACTTCCATCATCATCATCATCATCCACATATCATCATCATCATGAACAACATCGTCAGCATCATCATCATCGGGACACCATCATCATCAGCAACATCATCATCAACATCGTTATCATCGGGACGCCATCATCATAGTTACCATCATCACCATCATCATCATCATCGGGACACCATCCTCAGCATCACCATCATCATCATCGGGGCACCATCATCAAAAACATCATCACTTCATCATCATCTTCATCATCAACATCATCATCGCACACCTTATCGTCATCATCATCAACATCATCATCAGCATCATCGGGGCACCATCATCATCTTCATCACCACCATGATCATCAACAACATCATCATCAACCTCACCATCATCCACATCGGGACACCATCATCATCATCTTCATCATCATCTCACCGTCTCATCATCAACAACATCATCAGGATCATACACATCATCATCCTCGGGACACCATCATCAGCAGCAACATCAGCATCAGCAACATCATCATCATCATTGGGACACAATCATCATCACCACCATGGCCATCATCATCACCATCACCATCATCACCATCATCGGGACACCATCATCATCACCATCATCAACAACATCATCATCATCGGGGCACCATCATCATCATCGGAACTTCACCATCATCATCACATCATCATCATCGGGGCACCATCATCATCATCCTCAGCAACATTATCATCATCAAAATCATCATCCTCGGGGCACCATCATCATCGTCACCATCATTATCATCGTCATCAGGACACCATCAACACCAACATCATAATCATCATCATCGTCATCACCTCATCATCGTCCTCATCATCAAATTCACCATCATCATCGGTACACCATCATTGTCATCATCATCAGCAACATCCTCATCATCATCGGGCAACCATCATCATCACCATCATCATCAACAGCTTCATCATCAACCTCATCACCATCTTCATCTGGACACCATCATCATCCTCATCGTCTTTATCATCATCATCATCATCATCATCTCACCATCTCATCATCATCAACATCATCATGATTATCAACATCATCGTCATCATCGGGACACCATCATCATCATCAGCAACATTTGCATCATCAACATCATCATCACCATCGGGACCATCACCATCACCACCATGGTCATCATCATCATCGTCAACATCGTCATCATCATCTTCTGGACACCGACGGGACACAAGCGGGACACCGGCGGGACACCACGCGCCATCGGTTGCCGGAAGAGAGACTTTTGGTCCGGCCGCGCCTCAGCCAGAGGCGGGACATTTCTCACCCGCCCACGCAGCTTCGCCTCGCCCGCACGCACGGCACGCGCGAACACGAAACCGAAGCCGATTGCCCGGTAGGGGGGGTCACCCTTCTACTTCGATCTCACCCCCTCACCTCCGATACTATACGACCACCCTTCGGGTGATAAGGAGGTTCGGGGAGGGAGGAACCAACGTCTCACTCGATCGGTCTCACTATCGATCTCACTATCGGTCTCGCTCGATCGATCTCATTCGATCGATTTCACAATCGATCTCACTCGATCTATTTCATTCGATTGATCCCACAATCGGTCTGACTATCGATCCCACAATCGATCCTACTATCGATCTCACAATATATATATATATATATACATATATATATATGTATCACACTCGGTGTCACTAGCGATCTCACTATCGATATCACAGCCGACCTCACAATCAACGTCATCCTCATCATCAAGATCACTGTTATCAACATCATCCTCATCGGGACAGTACCATCATCATCACCACATCACCATCATCATCAACACCATCATCATCACCACCATCATCATCATCGGGACACCATCATCATCATAAGAAGACCACCATCATCATCTTATCATCATCACGAACAAAAGCATCATCATCGGGATTCCACCATCATCATCCCCAGCAACACCATCATCATGAACACCATCATCATCGGGACACCATCATCATCGTCACCATCATTACCGTTTATCAGCATCGGGACACCATCATCAAGATCACCATCATCATCACCATCTGGCCACCATCATCAAAATCATCATCATCACCTCATCATCATCATCATCATCATCATCATCTTCCGGATATCATCATCGTCATCATCATCAACATCATCACCATCGGGACATTATCATCATCATCAATAGCATCATCATCAACCTCATCACCATCATCGGTGCACCATCATCATCAAGATCATCAGGATCAGCAACATCATTATCATCAGTGGGATACCCTCATCATCATCATCATCATCTGCGGCATCATCAACATCATCATCATCGGGACACCATTATCATCACCACCATGGCCATCATCATCATCATCACCATTATCATCATCGGAACACCATCATCGTCACACTCATCCTCAGCAACATCAGCAGCATCATCATTGGGACACCGTCAGCATCACCATCGGAACACCACCATCAGCATCATCATCTCATCATCACCATCATGAACAACATCATCAGGATCATCCTCGGGACACCATCAACATCATCAGCAACATCATCATGATCAACATCAGTATCATCAGGACACCATCATCATCGTTACCATCTCATCATTATCGCCATCATCATCTTCATCATCGGGGCACCATCATCATCATCATCGGCATCAGCATCATCAGCATCGGGTCACCATCATCAAAATCATCATCATCACCTCATCATCCTCATCATCATCAGCTTCATCACCATTGGGACACCATCATCGCCATCATCATCATCAACAGCATCATCATCATCATCATCGGGACACCATCATCACCATCATCATTATCATCATCATCATCATTATCATCATCAACAGCATCATCATCAACCTCATCATCATCGTTATCATCATCGGGACACGATCATCATATTCCCCCTCATCATTTTTTAATCATCATCATCAACATCATCGGGATCATCCACATCATCATCATCATCGGGGCACCATCATCATCATCAGCGACATCATCATCAACATCATCATCATCGGGGCACAATCATCATCACCACCATGGCCATCATCATCGTCATCAGCATCATCATCAACATCGTCATCATCATCATCAGCATCATCGGGACGCCGACGGGACACCGGCGGGACACCACGCGCCACCGGTTGCCGGAAGAGAGACTTTTGGTCCGGCCGCGCCTCAGCCAGAGGCGGGACACTTCTCGCCTGCCCATGCAGCTTCGCCCCGCACGCACGCACGGCACGCACGAACACGAAACCGAAACCGATTTCCCGGTAGGGGGGGCTCTCCGTTCCACTTCGATCTCATCCCCTCACCTCCGATATATAGATATATACATATATGTATACATATTGTATACTACACATAGAAAATTACACTCACCATGCCAGGGCCCAGGATGGCACGGGCCATGCATGGTGGTCGCGCGTCGGTGTTTCCTGGAGGGCTCTACATCCGCCTAGACCTGGTCCCCGGACCCTCTTAGAGGTGTCCAGTCTGGCTAGTTTCTCATGCCGGATGCCAGATCGATCTCAAACGGTCGCGGGGCCCGAAATGAGTTTCAAGAGACAGAATCGGCGAGCACCGTCCTCGACCCCCCCTCCTCGAACCTGGGTCAGACGAGCTAGAGGTCATGGGGCTGATACGTTCCAGAGTTCCCAGCATTTCCAGATTCCCTGATGCTCTACACGGGCCGCAGAAACGAGGTCCTCGAGATATTCTCCAGAATTCCTAGAACCCATCCTGACCCGCTCCTGTCATGGCATCGTTCTCGTTCACTTTCGACGCACAGGTGCCTCCGCTTTTTTCTACCGGCGGGGGGCCCTTCTCGGCCCCAGGCGGCGCCGCCGCGGCCGCCGTGCCTGGGCAGCTTCGGGTACTGCTCCCACCTCCGCCTTCGCCGCCGGAGGTGCAGGCCGACGACTACGACGGCGGCGGCCACGGCCACGGCCACGTCGACGTCGAGGACGACGACTACGACGGCGACGGCGACGGCGACGGCGACGGCCACAGCGGTGGCGACAGCGGCGGCGGCGACGACCAGGACGACGAACAATCCGACGGCCGAAGTCGAACGGAAACAGCGACGGCGACACAGACGACGCAGGCGACGCAGACGCTGATATCCTCACTCTCCACCTTCTCTCCTCCTCCCCTCCTCCATCTCCTCTCCTCACCCCCCTCGCCCATCCCTCATGCCCCTCGTCCCCCTCGTCCATGTCCTCTCCTCCCCCCCTCTTCCATCCCGCCTCTGCCTCCTCGATCTCCTTTCCTCCCCCTCCTCGTCTCTCTTTCCTTCTCCTCCTCCTCCTCCTCCTCCTCCTCCTCCTCCTCCTCCTCCTCCTCCTCCTCCCCCTCCTCGTCTCTCTTTCCTTCTCCTCCTCCTCCTCCTCCTCCTCCTCCTCCTCCTCCTCCTACGTCTCCTCCTCCTCGTCCATCTCTCTCCGCCCGCGAAGAGACGTCCTCCACCTGCTTCATCTCCTCTCGTTGTCCCCCTCCTCTGTCTCTCCTCTCCTCCATCCCCTCTTTTCGCCCTCTTATGATATCGCATCCCTCCAAACCTGAAGCTCACCCCTCCCAGGAAGAGGGAGGAGGAGGGAGGTTTGAATAGAGTACCGCTCTCGCGTCTCATTCTCCTCCTCTCCCTCCATCCTGCATCCCACTTCCTGCATGCGTGCTTACTGCTTCCAGTACATTGCCGTCCACCTCGCGACTCCCCAGGGGGCCTGCCAACTTCGCAACTGTCGCTATTTTCGTGGGCTCCTGGGAGGGCCAGCGGAGAGTGTTCGGCGTCATCCCAACATACTACTGCCAGTATGTGTGCGTCGCCCCCCCAGAGGCGACGCGCGCACCGAGAAATCTTCTAGTATAGGCGTCGCGGCGGGCGCTGTCTGGCCACACTGCTCGGGAAACGATATACTACAGGCTGGGTATACTAGATGTTCGGGTCGGAAGCGCGCCTCCAAGGAGGACAAGTATTAGTATGTCTCTGTGCGTCCTAGGGTTTTCCACGGGGCATCTGGCGAGACCTCGCGGCTCCTTTGGTGGCTCCCAACTGCGCAAAGGTCGTCTTTCTTCCCGGGCTCCTGAGAGGGCCAGCGGAGTGGGATTGTTCGCAAGCCCAGCCGAGACCTTGCGGCTCCCAGTGAGGTTGTCAGTGTGTAATTGTTTGTATGTTCGTGGGCAGTTGCCAAGTGTTGCATACCGAAGACGCATACGGCGAATCACCGCCGCCCCCTGCCTTTTGGAGTCGCCCGTGTGGCCCAGCGTTGTGGCAAGAGTTCTGCCAAGCTATAGGGCCATGTTTTCCCCAGCCGTTGTGGAAGCCCTTCGGGGAACATGTGGTTGAGGATGGCGGGGAAGATCAGAAGGAGGAGGAAAAATGACAGGGCATCTTGGGAGCCTCTGGGGGCACGCTTGGGGCCTCCTCGGAGCTTCCTGGGAGCCTGAGGCATCTTGGGGGCTTCCTTGGGCTGCTTGGGGGTCGTTGGGGGCTTCTCGGGGGCCTCTTTGGCGTCTTAGGGCATTCATGGCCCGTCTGACGCCAGCGGAAGCCGTCTTGGGGGCCTCTGGGCCGACTCGGGGACCTCTTGGGGTGCTCTAGGGCCGTCTTGGTCCGTCGTGGAGGCTTATTAGGAACTTGGAGGCATCTTGGACCCTCTTGGGCCGTCTTGGCAGCCATCCTGGACCCTCTTGGGCCGTCTTGGAGACTATCGTGGACCATCTTGGGCGAACTTGGAGGTCTTCTTGGAATTGTATTGGAAGCTGTTTGGGCCGTCATGAGGTCATCGTGGAGGCTTCTGGGCTATATTGCCTTGATGTTCGGAGCCTCCCTGCCCCCTGCCCTTTGGAAGCGCCTATGTGGCCGACAGCTGGGCTAGAGCTTGGCCAAGCTATCGGGCCAGATGTTCCCCGAGTCGGTTTGGACAGCTTTCGGGGAACGCGTGGGGGGAGCAAGAGGAGGAGGATCAGGAGAGGGAGGAGGAGGATGAGGAGGAGGAAGATGAGGATGAGGATGAGGACGATAGGGGAGGAAGAGGAGGAGGAGTAGGAGGAGGAGGAGACTTCGTGGGAACCTCTTGGAGGCCTCTCGGGACGCCTATTCGGAAGCCTCTGCAGAGCTTCCCTGGAGTCTTTTGGAGGCCTCTTGGGAGCCTCCCTGGGTCTCTTGGGAGCATCTTGGGGGCCTTTGGGGGCTTCTTGGGGACATCCTTGGCCGCCTTGGGGCGTTCCTGACCCATCTGACGCCGTCGGACACCGTCTTGGGGCCCTCTCTGAACCAACTTGGTGCCCTCCTCGGGCGAGTCAGGGCTGTCTTGGAGACCATACTGGGCGTCTTGGAGGCCTCTTGGGCCGTCTTCGGGCCCTTTTGGGGTCTTGGAGGCCTCTTGGGCCGTCATGGTGCCATCTTGGAGGGCTTTTAGGCGATATTGGAGCGACCTTTGTGGCCTCTTGGGCCGTTATGGGCGGTCTTAAAGCAGAAAAGGCGCACATGGCAAATCCATCACAACTGGAGGAACCTCAATGATGTTGGCCTCTTCGAGCTTTCCTGGAGGACATCTTTGGGGCCCCTGGGGCCGTTTTGGAGGCCTCTTGGTGGCCTCTCGGGCCGTCTTGGGCCATCCTGAGGCTATCTTCAGCCGTCTTGGGTGCATCTTGGGCCGTCTGGGAGGCATCTGGGGGCCATCGTAGCTGTATTGGAGGCCACCTTGGCCGTCTCGGAGGCATCTTGGAGGCCATCTGGGGCCACCTTGACCGTCTTGGAGGCCATCTTGGGCCGTCTGTGCCAAGTGTTGCGTAGTTATCTCTCTGATGGCCTTCGGCCCTTCCCACCACCGTGCCTGGGTCGTGGGTCTGAGGCTTCGTGGACGTTCGTTGGGATCTCGTGCGAAGACTTTCGGGGGCTTTTCGGAGGAAGTTTCGAGGGGCATCTGAGGGGCTGTTTTGGGGCCAGGGCCTCTTTGGGACCTCTCGGGGCCTCCTGGGGCCCTCTTGAAGCGGAAGGCTCAAATTTTAAGTTTGTGGCCCACTTTTGGTTCTGTCTTGGGGCTGTTTTGGGGCCCTCTTGGGCCGTCTTGGTTGCCTCCTGGGCCGTCTTACGGCCCTCTTGGGCCGTCCTGGGGGCCACTTCGGGCCTCATGGGTCGTGTTTGGGCTGTCTTGGAGATTTATCGGGCCGTCTTGGGGCGTCGCGATACCGAAAAGGCGAGAATGCCAAAACCGTCGAAAACCTAAGGATGTGCGTTGTAGAACGAGCTTGCATCGCACAGTTCCGTTTCATCTTCCGCTCTATAGTCTTTCTGGCTCAATGGACTTGGCCCTGCGAGGATTGCAGGCCGTTGCTCCTGGGGCCCCCCTCCTTTCAGTCGCCCGCTGTCCAGATTGCCACTGCGTCGCTGACTGCCAGGTCAGCAGCGATATCGTGAATCTCTTGGGCCGCCAACTGGAGCGCTGCGGGCCCAGCGTGCCCAAGCTGCCCGCCGCCGCAGTGCCCGGAGGTGACGTTCGCCTGGGGCACCTTCTTCTGGGGCGTGGTGCTCGGCGCGGTCCTCGCCGTGGCCGTGGCGCTCGCCGGGTGGAAGGGCCTGTGAGTGCTAGACCCCGAGGCCGATGGCAGCTTTCAGCCCAGGAAGGCGTGCTGGTGGAGGCCGACCCAACGCCCGTGGAGGCCTCGGCCGCTGGCGGCGGCGCTGCTCCGGGCGTACTGCGCGCCCCGGTGCTGGCGCGCCCCGCGGCCTCGCCGGCGGACGCCGTTTGGGCGGCGGCGGAGGCGCGCGGCGGCTTCGCGGCGGGGGCGCCCATCCCGCCCGAGCTGCTCACCGCGGCGGACCAACTGCAAGCGGTGCTCGGCGACCGCGATGCGGTCATGCTGGCGTCGGGGACCCCGCTCGCGGTTGCCGTCGCCAGCACGCTGGAGCGGGGGGGCGGCTCAGATGGCCAGCAGCAGCGGCGACCTCCGCGCGCTGCCGGTGCTCTACTCTGCCGCAGGGGGTCGCTCCAGGTCGTTCCACGATGCGGCGGCTAAGATGTCCACGACGCCCTTCGCGGACTGGCGTATCATGGGGCCCCGGGCCGCGGCTTGGCTGCTCGAGAAGATCTCGGAGGCGGGCTACACGCCGCTGCAGAGGCACTTTTGGTGGAGGTCGATTCAGGGCCTCACGGCGTCCGACTCGGGCGTGGACGACCACCGCGTCATCTCGGAGGTTTGGCAGGAGCTCACCACGCATGACCAGCTCAACGCTGGCGAGCTGGCAGTCGCGGAGATCTTGCGTAGACGCGACCTGCTCTGGGAGGAGCTCTTCGCCGCCATCCTGCGCAAGCCGAGGCGGGCCAGGACGCTGCGCCTTGGCTCGGCGAGCGGTCGATCTTCCTCGGCCAAGACAGGGGCCGCGGCTCGGCCCAGGTCTTCCCCGCTTTGGAGAGCTGGGCGGCAGAGAAGCTCAGGGAGGAGAGCGCCATTCTCAAGGAGCGCAGGAAGGGACGGGGAGAAAGACTGCAGGAGCGCGGCGCCGACCTTGGCGCGGGCTCCGGCGAAGGCCGAGCGCCGACCAATGGGGCGGGGAGAAAGGCTACAGGAGCGCGGCGCCGACCAAGGCGAAGGCCCGCGGCCGCGACCGCCGGCGCGGGGCCTGAGTCGCCCCCTCTCGCCGGGGAGGCCCTTGGCCTCGGCGCGAGTTTTCATGGGGGGCGAGGTGCGCCGCGAGGCGATTCCGCCTCGCTGGGTTTTGGCGACGCTGGTCTCGTTCAAAGAGACGCGTTGCCCACCCCGCTGGGCTCGGAGGCGCCCCAGTCTAGAGGGGGTTCTCGGCTCCCGGCGGCGAGCTCTCGCCGGGGCAGCGGCGCGAGGCCGCGCGCTGCAGGCGCCAGGGGCGCTGAGCGCTGAAAGGCGGCGCTGAACGAGCTAGGCGGCGGAGGG